TGTAACCAAATTTAAATAATCTAAAAAACCCCAAACTAAAATCAAAACCGCTAATGTACTGAAAACACGTCTAATCCTTAACTCAAATGATAGCACCATTATTCCATTATCACCCCCATTACAGAGAAGAGGTCTGAAATTCAAAGCCATACAGACACCTAGACTTAGGAAAAGCATTTATTGTGGTTTTTGTATATAATCAAGTTCTTACTCTCAGTTGTTTGGTGAGAAGTACATACTGTGCCTCTGTGAAGTTTTAATTCTCTCTTAAGTTGTGGCATACTTTATATTATCAGACATTTTCTCTATAACTATATTCAAGAATCTAGGAAACAGAATGGATTTCAACAAGAAAGTTTAGAAAACAACATATTAGCATTTTTCTAAAATTTTGTAGTCTTTTTTTCTTCATATATCAATTTGCCATTTTAAAAATTAATTTTGGAATTGGTAAATGAAAATTGCAAATATCTATGGTACTATGCCATTTTGAAATATGTATACATTATGGAATGGCTAAATTGAGCTAATTGACATATATATTACCTCACATATTTAGCATATTTTTGTGGCAAGAACATTTAAAATCTATTCTCTTAGTAATTTTTCAGGTATAAAATACATTATTGTAAACTATGGTCACCTTGATATACACAGATCTCTTAAACATATTCTTCCTGTCTCCCCCGTGGAGCAGAATTTGGCAAAATTGAACAAAGTCACTTACTTTCTAATCTAATAATCTTACTTGTGGTACTGTCCCCGGAAAATATACAAGCACAGACCTGAAGCAACATATAGGCAAGGTTATTTACTGTGGCATTATTTGTAATAGAGAATTACTATTACTATTTAGAGAATTATATTATTTGTAATAGAGAATAACCTAAATTTATCTCCATAGGAGACTGGCTTTTTAAAAAGGTCTATTCTTGGAGTGAAATACCATCCAACCAGACAAAAGAATGGTAAAGGAACATGTCAAAGGGGAACTAAAAGGGTCAAGAGGCAATTATAGCAATGACAAGCACTCTTAGAGCTCATGTCTGGGTTTCTCAGTATTGTTCATCACTGAAAGAACTACAGCTCCTTGAAGAAATAGCAATTCAGATCTGGGGCAGGCAAAAGTATAAGATAAGCCTAAAATGTCTTTTTGTGCCAGAGAACAAAGACTGGAAGAGTTAGATCAAAAGGTTACAGGGGCAACTAACAGAGACTCTGATTGCCCAAATCAGAGACAATTTTAGCATCCCAAAATAAATGCATATATACATAAATGGAGATGGTAATGGATTATAACACAGTGAACAAATGAAAACAAAAACTACAGTATGATCATATTTTCAATGATCCCACAGAAACTCATTACAAATATAAGAAGTAAAGGGGAAAAAGTTTGGAGTCGAAGTAAAGGAAATCTCTTTTGTACAGAAAAATGTAAAAGGCAGAACTGAGAAGCCACAAGTTTGCACCTGCAAAGTACTTACTGACTCTGGGCCTAACACTTATAATCACAAGGTGATTTTCTGAAATATCTTCTGGCTCTATCTATAAGATTAATAGACTTTGAAATGAAAGTACTTGATTGGATTAGGGAAAAGCTATGGAATCCTTGCTTTGATATGTTTTTCTTCTCTCCCAAAGCTGAGAATAATAATTTGCAAATCCAACTTGAGGCAGGTCTCTAGTTTCCTCACTTTAAGTTAGTCTCACGTTTTATTACATGGCCACAGGGTATATTGGAACTCCTTGCTAAAGAAGGCCTCATCATAAAGTCAAAAGACAAATGTCACACTAGTTGATATTGCAATATATCACAGACAAAAGACATTCCTAATATAAGCTTTATACTATTTATACGTTTAAACAGAATAAAAGATTCTGCTTAGCCTTTTATACCAGAGAAATTATCCTATCTTCAAGCTAAACTAAAGCATAGGTTTTCCGAAGAAAGTAATGCCTCTTAATACCTTTTCCTTAATTGGTCTCTAAGAGCTCAGGTTAGAGGGGAGATAATCATGTTGTTTCAACTCACTGAGGGTCTTATAGGAGGGAATAGGGTGATCCTTTTCCTGCCATCATAAATGGCCATGATTGACACTTGCACACAAAATGACGAATTACCAAGAGAAGAGAATAAGAGATTCATTTAAGCACAGTTTTACATACTATGCCAGCCTTGCTGGGCATCACAGCATTCTGGGAGGCAGAGGCGGGGGATACAAAATTCAAACCCAGACCAGGCAAGTAAGTGAGACCCTGTCTAAATAAATAAATAAATAAATACAAACGAACAAGAGCTGGGATATAGTTTACAGTGAAGGCTTCTGGGTTCAGTCCCAAGTAACACACACACACACACACACACACACACACAGAGCCTTCAGGTAGAAAAATACCCATTTTGAGGATTAGGTTCAGGGAAGCATGTACAGTTATGTAGATACATGTCTGGAAAAATGATACGATCTAATACTAAAAGGCTGAGTGGAGAAACCTAGCAAAGCCTGTCTGTTTAGCTTGTTCTTGGCTTACATGTGTAGCATAACTTCCTCCTGGGTCCAGGGCAGGAATGAGTTTCATAATCTACTTTAGAGAAAGTAAGTCAGAGAATATTTTTATGGTCAGCTCTAAAACAGAAGAGTGGGGGAAGATAAGAGCAGTATTTTTAGGCCTTAAGACATACTTCAGGGCAAAGTGACTCCAGTTTTTATGGCTCACTTTGGAAAGAGAAATTCCAATTCAATGATTTGTATTTGGAGAGTAGAGAAAGCAGGATACGGGATAAGAGGTCAGAGAAACACGTTGCTTTTGAGGCTACTTTTGGGGCCTTCACTTGCAGTATCATCTTTGAGTACCAAAAGTCTCCACAGGTCAAATATTCATTTCATCCTGCCTTATCTGGTTAGTCTAGTGTATGCTTCTGGTATAAAAAAAATATCACTCCCTTTTAATCTCAAAGATACCTCAGTTTGGACAATAAATCACACAGTTGCCCTACTTCTGGGACACTCCCAATGCTCTTTAGAAAAGTCTTCATTTGCTTGATATTGAGGAGTAATGGTTAAGAGAAGCAAGAAAAAACTCTGAAATGTGGCAAGCAGAATAATGGTCCATAGCCAGGTGTGGTGGCACACACTTGTAATCCCAGCACTTGGGAGGCTGAGGCAGGAGGATCACCATGAGCCAGCCAGCCCTGGACTACATAGTGAGTTCAAGGCCAGCCTGAACTATGAGCAAGACCCTGTCTCCAAAGAATGGCCCTTCCCATAAGATTCCATATTCTAACCCCTAGAACTGTGAATGCTATTGGTTAACGGTAAAATGAAAGTGATTAAGGACGTTTAGATGAGATTATCTTTTCCAGGTAAGCTCAATCTAATTGTGTTCAACTTTAAAATCAGAGAATCTGGAGTTGACTTAGGAGATAAAGACTATGAAAGAACACTCATGAGAACTGTAACATTGCTGGCTTTGAAGATAAAAATATGGAGGCCATGAATCAAGAAATGCGGGCAGCTTGAGAAGAGCAAAAGCACAGAAACAGGTTTCCCTTCCAACCACCCAAAGAAAACGGAACACAGACACAGATTTTCAAGATAGTACTTTTATATTATTACAATCCATTAATTTTGTGGTTATTTGTTTCAGTAACAACAGAAAACTGATACATTGAACTGACTATATTTTAAAATGATCTTTGAAGGATATAACAAACCATTATTCATTTATTAAATTTTCAAGTATGCCTGACCCAATGATGAACTCTCCAAGTTTGCATCATTGGAAGAAAACTGTCACAGAAACACAAGTGACTGTTTTAAGATTTCTTTTTTTAAATTGTTTATTGGTACATTTTAAGTATACAATACAGTTACATTCATCATTAGGATCTTGTACCTTTACAGGAAGAGTGATGCCAAATATAATGGCAAGATGAGAAGGTGAAAAAACAAAACAAAACAAAACAAGCATGAAAGTGCAAGCTAAAATTCCAGCATTCAGGAGGCTGAGGGGCAAGAAGACTTCTGTGAGTTTGCGGCCAGCCTGGGTTATACAGTGAGTTCAGGATCAGCCTACACTATATAGCAAGACCCTGTCTAAAAGAAAAAGAAAAAGGTTGAAAAGGTGCAATTTTAGGTGTGTGCCTTTGAGCCTATTTGGTGTGGTACAGCATACACATATTTGGCCTCCTCTTTGATTCGGTAAGATCTACTATCTTAGCTTCCTCCGTTTTGTTTCGTACAGTGTTTTCCCTTTGTGTGGAGGAAATAGGGACCTAGCCAGAAATCAGAATTGCTCCTTGCTCAGGGTAGGATATGGAGGAGTTCTAGGGGTACTTAAGGCATGTCACACGCGTGGCTTCAGTTAATGCTTATAGCAGTTCATCAATAAGATATTATGATTCTTTTATGTAAAAATTTATTGGACTACGTAGAATCCCATCCTGCTGCGTAATTTTGTGTCAGTTAGCCCTCTCCCAGTTTACAGTACTGGGTCTCCAACCCAGGAAGCCCAGAATGCCAGGCAGACACTGTATGCACCAGGCGCGGTGGCACACACCTATAATTCCAGCGATCTGGAAGGCTGACGCAGGAAAATCTCGAGTTCGCGCCCACCCCAGGAAATTTAACAATTTAGTGAGACCCTGCCTCACAGATAAATACACACATAAGTAAAAAGGGCTAAGAACACAAATTAGTGCGCAGGAACTGGGTTCGTCAGTACCCTCTCCCCCGCCAAAAAAAGAATGTTACCTAACACTGAAGGTAGTGAGGACCTCGGAGAGCACCACAACACCCCACCCTGACTCCTCTCACACGGGGTGGGCCCACCTTCCGCAGGCGAAAGGCACCTCGGTCCTCCGGGCCGGACTGCACCTACGTGACGCCGACCCCCACGCTCGCCGCCTTGCGGACTCGCTCTACTTTCGCGCGTAGCCCCGACGTCACAGTTTCCGGTCTGCGCTGCGTGCTACGTCATCCCGCAGATGTCCCGGATGCTAGTCGGCTGGCAGAATAAAAGGCTGTTGGGAACTGTGGGGCGTTCCTGGCGTTAGTCTTAGTGACCGATGGCTTTGATAGTCTTATTTGTTTTTGAAACAGGGTCTCGCAGTTAAAGCTGGCCTTTGAACTCGCGGCCATCCTCTTGCCAGCCTCAGACGCTCCAGCGCTGGGATTACTGGCGTGCCCCACCGAGCGCGGCGGCATAAGCAGTTTTGAAGGAACCTATCTGCATCTAACGGGCTGCTGGTCTGACAGCCGCACAGAGGTTGCACTCATTAGGAACTAGGTAATTCAGAATATTGTAGGTGCCGCCCCTGTGGAGAACGGATGCAATAACACCACACCTTCTAGTCCAGACCTTTTCCTCTACTGGTCAACGCATTCCACCTGTTAAAGGTCATTTGCGAAAGGTAAAATTACACATTTATTCATATATACAAATACACATGAACAATTGTCAAAAGGCATTAAAGAAGGAACCAGTAAAACATTAAAACCCAGAGAATGGGTGAAGGGAGGGTGGGGACAAGGGGAAAAAATGAGAACCAAAACCTGTCACGCAAAGGTCCAAGATCCCAGTAATGAATGGAACTGTATTATATACCTAGAATGTACCAATAAACTCAATAAAAAGAAAAAAACGAGAATGTTAAGAATCATGTAAATAGACATGCAAATTCTGAAATGAATTTGCACTTCCTGATCAACAAGATCTTTGAATTCCAAATTTTGTAACTTCCAAATTGGGTTCATCTTTTTCCCAGTTTCACAAACACCGTTTTAATCTGAGCCTGAAATCTGTGGATTCCCCTACTACATCCTTTCCCTTGCAAGCGCCCCCCCTCGTTCTTCCTCTACTGTTTCAGAGTGCTCTTTAGAACAAAAATAATAAATTAGATAATACTACTTTTTTTTTTTTTTTTTTTTTTTTTACTGGGGATTGAACTTGGGTCCTTGCGCTTGCAAGGCAGGCCACCGAACAGCTGAGCTAAATCCCTGGTCCCGACAATACTACTTTTTAAAAACACACACAATGGCTTTCTTGCTTGAAGATTTAAATCTTTACTCCCTGTGGTTGCACACAAGGAACTCCTGTGAGTTACCTGTGTTTGTTCTACAACCTTAGCTACTACTACTTCGCTACTGTTCAGAACTACCCTCTGCTTAGAGTGCCCATTCCCCTGAATTCTGCAGTTACCTCATTTTCTTTTTTAGATCTCATATGCCACAAAATGACGTTTCAATCAATGAAGAGCCACTTACATCACCTAGTGACACTGTAGCCCTCTCTGTGTAAGTACCCTCTATGATGTTCACATAAGGATGAAATTGCCTAATGCATTTTCACTGTTAAGCCACGTATGACTGACTGTATTGCCTTTTCAGACTATATAAATTGCTCACTTGTGATATGTTTTGCTGTATGATATTTGTGAATTTAAGTAAAACTGGTATTTAATTATGATTCACTTGAGTATGCTTAGCACTAACTCCATTTTGAACTCTCACATAATAAAAGCTATAAATGAACTAAATCACTGGGTGATATGTACAACTGTACATATATATATATATATATATATATATATATATATATACACACACACACACAAATGATACGGTTGGTATCTAGGACTTTTTCCCTCCAGTTTTGACATCTGGAAGCTAACCCACATTTCTGGAGACCCCGAGAGATATTACGTCTTCTGGAACTGTATCAGTGCCTTTAGACTGCCATTTGAGACATATCAGCTGTGATTCTACCCTTTGTGAATTGAAGTGGCATTGGCCACCTGGGGCTCTGTTTCAGTGAACACCCCTTTTTTCATTGTGGACAATTCCAGCCCTGTTTGTGTGTTCCCTTGGAGGGGCTGATCTCCCAGATCATTTGGACAAATTTTTCCATGGATGTAGTATTTGGTTTATTACTAACACTCAGTGCTTCACTGATTGTCTTTTACTTATTTTTGCCTATATTGCTATTTTTGTTTGTTCTGCTTTTGTGTACATTGCAGTAAACTACTTAATTCTGGAACTATCTTTGTTTCACTTGACTTGTCATTTGATGAGAAAATAAAGAACCTTAATCTTGTGGAGGAATTATAATCTTCAAGGTAAAAAGTGGTCCAGCACAACACACCTCAGTCTGATCGATTGATTGGAATTTGAATGACTTATTAAAATACATTCAAAAGTATGTCAGGTAGTTTTTGGTGTTTAAATTTTTTTGAGTACATGTTTGCAGTACATAGTGATTACATTCATTGTGGGGAGTTGATACATGTACAAGACACATATTAATTCTTTTTACTTTCCCTTCCCCTACCTCTCCCTTTCTCGTTCACCTTATTTAAAATTTTAAATTTCTACAGAGGCATGACAATTCTTAAAAATAATTTATTCTATTGCACAACGTTCACATTAGGAAGGCAGGTGAATTATCAGAAGCCCAAATACACACTATCGGGGGGTTTACAGAGTACTGACAATGTGAAGACTAGCAATCCCTTGCATCAGCATTAAATTGCTCGTGGTCATATGGGGACCATCCTCTTCCTCACCTTTTCTTCTCTAGCTCAGTCTAGAACTCAGCACACCAAAAGCAACCGAGGAAGAGAAGATGCACCTGCTGTGATCAGCTTTAGCTGCAAGGCAGAAGAGCCTCTGGTGCCAATTTCAAGAGAAAATTAAAATCAGTTTGAATACCAACTTTCAAATTTTTGGTGTTCTCTTTTCCTAAGATACAGAAAAGTTGATAATACTGGAAACATGCCTTGGACATGGGGTCAGGCAAACATGGCAAGGGCTTGTGGCCAAGCAGCTAGCAACATATACTAACTTACAAAGTTGATTATCATACATATAGATTGAAAGCCAGACAAATAGGCCAAAGAACATATAACACATATAAGACAATTGTATCAGTCAAGGTACAATTGTAGATCTGTTGTTCACACTAGATTAAAATACCTTCTTTTCTTTCTCTTTTTTCTATTACTGTCACACACACACACACACACACACACACACACACACAAAGGTACAATTGTAGATCCGTTGTTCACACTAGATTAAAATACCTTCTTTCTCTTTTTCCTATTACTGTCATACACGAACACACACACATATGTATGAGAAACCGTGAAATATTTAAATGTGTGTTTGTATTACTTTAACATTATGGTCTCAAGTTGAACCCAGTTTCCTATCAATGACTCAAGTTTATCCCTTTTTGTGGCAGAGTAGTACTCCACACATATAAATACCACATTTTAAAATTTATTCATCTCTTGTTGGACATAATAGGCTGCTTACAAGATTTAGCTATTATAAATGTTGCTGTTATAAGCATGGGTATGCATATATCACTGTGGTATGACATCTTTATCTCTTTTGGGAAGATACTTAGAAATGGAATAGCTGGGTCCAATAGAATTTTTATTTTTAGATTTTTGAGAAATCTCCATACTGATTTCCACAGTGGTTGTATCAGTTTACAGTCTCACCAACAATGAAGAAGTGTTCCTCTCTCCTCACAGCCTCACCAACATTTGTTACAGGTTGATTTCTTGATAGCCATTTCTTTTTTTCTCCTCTCATTGAGTTTATTGGTAAATTTTAGGTATACATTACTGTTACATTCATCATTGGGATTTTTTACCTTTACATGACAGGTCTTGGTTCTCATTTTTTCCCCTTGTCCCTGCCCTTCCTTCACCCCCTCCTCCCCTCCCTATTTACAAACATTTTATTTTCATTTTTTCATTTTCTCATATTTTGTTCTTTTCCCTTATTCCCTTTCCCCTACCCTTCTCACTTCCCCTACACCTTTAGCCCTTTTCTTCCTATTTCACATTGTCAATTATATCATTAGGATCTTATGTACCATTTTAGTTTTTCACACCAGAGAAACTATTTGGAATTTACACATGTGTGACTTATTTTTTTCACTTAGGAGTATATCCTCAATATGTATCCATTTTCCTATGAATGACTCTAATTTCTCATTATGGCTGAGTAGTACTCCATTTTATAGATAAACCACATCTTCTTTATCCAGTCTCCAACTGATGGGCAAATGGGTTGTTTCCAAGTTTTAGCTATTGCAAGCTGTGCCACTGTAAACATGGGTGCGCATATATCACTGTGATATGATTCTTTTAATTCTTTTGGAAAGATACCCAGCAGAGGGATGGCTGGGTCAAATGGAACCTCACCCACCAACAGGAGAAGGGTTCCTTTCTCGCCACAACCCCGGCAACGTTTGTTATTGTTTGATTTCTTGATAGCAGCCATTCTTTGTGGGGTGAGATGGAATCTCATTGTTGTTTTCATCTGCATTTCTCCAATGACCAGTGATGTAGAACATTTTTTCATATATTTATTTGCTGCTTTTACTTCTTTTTCTGAGAAATGTCTGTTCATTTCAGATACCCATTTTTAATCAGGGCTTTATATTTAGGGGGGCTGATTGAGTTCTTTATATATTCTAGATAAGAGTCCTTTGTCTGAGGAGCAGCTGGTAAAAATGTTTTCCCACATTGTAAGCTGTCTCTTAGTTCTGTTGATATTTTCTTTTGCAGTGCAGAAGCTTTTTTTTTCATCTTTAATTGAGTTTATCGGTACATTTTAGGGATACAGCACAGTTACATTCATTGTTGGGATCTTGTACCTCTACATGACAAGTCTTGGTTCTAATTTTTCCCCCTTGTCCCTGCCCTTCCTTCACCCCCTCCTCCGCTCTCCATCTACAAACATTTTATTTCCATCTTTTTATTATCTCACCTTCTTTTTATTTTCCCTTATTACCCTTCCCCTACCCATCCCACCTTACCTACACCTTTAGCTCCTTTCTTCCCATTTCTCAATGTCAGTAATCTTATTAGGATCTTCTGTATTATTGCAGATTATTCACACCAGAGAAACTATTCGGTATTTACACATGTGTGCCTTATTTATTTCACTTATCAGTATATCTTCAATATGTATCCATTTTCCTATGAATGAATCTATCCCCTACCCATCCCACCTTACCTACACCTTTAGCTCCTTTCTTCCCATTTCTCAATGTCAGTAATCTTATTAGGATCTTCTGTATTATTGCAGATTATTCACACCAGAGAAACTATTCGGTATTTACACATGTGTGCCTTATTTATTTCACTTATCAGTATATCTTCAATATGTATCCATTTTCCTATGAATGAATCTATTTTCTCGTTTTTTATGGATGAGTAATATTCCATTTTATAGAAAAACCACAGCTTCTTTATCCAGTTTCCAACGGATGGGCAAAGGGGCTGTTTCCAAGATTTAGCTATTACAAACTGTGCTGCTATAAACATAGGTGCACATACTTCTCTGTGATATGATTCTTTTATTTCTTTTGGAAAGATACCCAGAAAAGGGATGGCTGGGTCAAATGGAACCTCCAGTCCAAGCTCTTTGAGGTATCTCCATATTGATTTCCATAGTGGTTGCACCAGTCTGCACTCCCACCAACAATGGAGAAGGGTTCCTTTCTCCCCAAAACCCCGCCAACATTTGTTATTGTTTGATTTCTTGATAGCAGCCATTCTTTGTGGGGTGAGGTGGAATCTTAGTGTTGTTTTCATCTGCATCTCTCGAAGGATCAGTGATGTGAAACATTTTTTCATATATTTACTTGCTGCTTTGACTTCTTTGATAAATGTCTGTTCATTTCGGATGCCCATTTTTTAATTGGGTCTCTATATTTGGGGGGCTGATTGTTTTGAGTTCTTTATATATCCTTGATAATAGTCCTTTGTCTAAGGAACAGCTGGTAAAAATTTTTTCCCACATTGTAAGCTGTCTCTTAGTTCTGCTGATGGTTTCTTTTGAAGTACAGAAGCTTTTTAGTAAGATGAGATCCCAGTTGTTGATTCTATCTTCTAATTCCCGTGCTACTGAGGATTTGTTCATAAAGTCTTTTCCTATGCCATTGTCTTCCAGAATTCTACTTAACTTACCTCCCAGGAAATTTAACGTTTCTGTTTTAATATTTAGATCTTTAATCCATCTGGATTTTAATTTAGTGCATGACAAAAGATAAAGGTCTAATTTTAATCTGTGGCAGGTTGACATCCAGTTTTTCCAACACCATTTATTAAAGAGGCTATCTTTCCTCCACTGAGGATGGTCAGCTTCTTTGTCAAAGATAAGGGAGCTGAGTACATCTGGGTTTGTTTTTGTGTTTTCCAGTCTGTTCCACTGATCCTCAGGCCTGTTTCTTTGTCAGTACCATGCTGGTTTTATCACAGTGGCTTTGTAGT